GGAGAAAGAAGGGAGAAAACAAGTCCACTGCCAACCTGTCACCATTCTTCCTCCTTTTAGCCAGGCAGCAGAAGCAAAATGAAGAATGGAATTCATGTATCTTTTTATACTTGCTCTCAGTAGTACAAAGACAGACATGACCAGGCCTCTTTTATTGGTAAAAGAAAGTGATAAGTGGGCTGAGGTAAATGGACTTAGATATTCACTAAACCTTAAAATACTATTCTCAGTGAGAGGAGAGAAAGGGGGGTGAGAGAGTGGGGGAGGGAGAGAGGGAAGAGAAAATGTAGGGGAAAGAAAGAAAAGAAAGGGAGGACAGAAGGCAATGTTTATTTCCTCTTATTTTACTATTTATGTTATATGAATAGCATAAATAACATACACATTTTAAGCAAATTATAAATAGGTATTGATTATCTTGATCTTTTCACAAGGAATGAACGTAAGCACCACTTATCTGTTGTGCTAAGGAAGAACGGACACCACTGGCTCTTCTGTTCTACTGTAAAGCTCAGTACATAAAGTCCTTGTTTCCGTCTCTTCTCAGCATTCCATCCTTACAGAGATGGCTAATGGAGGAAGTGTTTTTTGTTACCTCTATGTACAGCTATGATCTGCAGCATATTATATCTTCCAGTGTGTTCTAAACATTGGGTTCAACATTGTGTAGCCAAAGAATAAAAGAAACTATGAGACATATATCAGCATTTTATTTTTGATGGCATTCAAGCCATAGCTAGCCTGTGTATTGAATAAATGTATGCTATTTGTGCTGTCTTTGTCAATGAAAATAAAGCTCAATGTTCTGAAATGTCCCTGTCTTTTTTCTCCTGATGGCGACTCATGTCAGGAATATTTATCTTACAACTGTAGTATTTTATCAAAACTATTTGGCATGCTTTGTCAAATAAAAGTAAATTGTAAGTAATGGAAAACCTCATGCTATCTATCTGCAGTAATTAGATCATCTTATTTTATACCCATGTTCTTTCGCAGAACATAGTGTCATTAATTTTGCTCTAAATCTGCTCTTTTCCTGTTTTAAACATGATACAAAAACACATTTCTAGATTGTACTGACCATCTTCTTTCTTCTGAACTTGAGTATCATTTCTATAGAAAGC